CAGGCAGTGTGAAGATCGCGATCACGATCTTCTTCCTTGAGACCGCGATCTGCCATCGTCGTCGTTTTTATCTTTAAACGCGAGGGGTTCACAGGCTGACTTCATGGTCACGATCCGTGAAGCGCGGTTGCGAACTTCCTCGCGGTCAGGATGAATTGTGGCCGTGATCAGACTGGGAAAACTCTCTATTTCTCCTTGGCTGGCTTCTTCACGAAGTTCGCGCCCGAAGCCTCCAAGACCGGGCCGCGATCTTAGGCTCTCAGGCCACGGTCTTCACCTTTAGTTCGCAGTCTGTTTTCTTGATCGGATCTCCTTCTACAGGCTGTGATCTTCAACTTCCTGCCCATTTTGCTACACGTGTGCCCCTTTTTGTACCTAATTCGAATATATTGTCTAAAGCACCCTAAAATCACATCATAATCAAATAAGAATGGAATAGGGATGCAATTGACGCTATTCTAACGATTATGCACATGAATTAGCACAAAACAAACCTAGATATGAAGGGCAATAACACCAATTTGGGTGTTATCAAGGTGCTTATGAGGTTAGAAAAGAAGAGAAGATATCTTGGACAACTTTATTCGAGATTCAATCAAGATGGCCTCTTTGACATCATCAATGAAGCAAAATAGGAAGCAGTAGAAGAGGAAGGTTTCTCAAAGGTGGAAAAGCAAGAGAACCTTGACAATTCATGTATTGAAGAACTTGTTTGGTAGACCATCATTGTTCCCGATCAATAAGAAGCAATGGATAAAGAAGGAAACTCAACATAGGGAAGATTATTCACAAGAAGGAAATGAGGTTTAAGATGCAAATGTAGTCCAATCAATGGCAAAGGTAGAAGTGAATTAAGCTTCCACAAGTTACAAGTGCTACTCAAGCTTTCCACTCGACCTTGATGTACTTTTAGACAAGGACCCTTTGCGCTTTCTCTTTGCCAAACCAAAGCCACACCATCATCGATCCTTCTTGGTGGATTCAATGGTGGTCAATCAAGGTTGCATTACATGATATGAGGCAAAGAGAAGAGAGAAGAAAAATAAAGAAGATGTCTCGTGGGTGGAGACTAAATCGAACCAAGTCCACGAGTCATTTCCATCATTTTAAGCATCCAACACTCGGGATTTGAGACACCAGCTTACAGATGAGAACATCAAATTCAAGGTGGTCTTAAGCTGGACTGAATACTTGAAGGCATTCGTCTAGCGTATAAGACTTAAAAGAACTCATCATCGTGGGTATCTGACTAGATTCCAATGGGTTTAGTTGGGAAAAATCTAACATATATTACATTTGGGGGAGTTTTTTTCCCCGAACCGGAAAAAAGAGTGTAATATGTTTGGTGTAGATTCGAAATGAGTCCACTCGAATATGTGCTACAACTATGGTTTAGTCCCACTCGCTTAAACATTTTGGTCATCCATGTCCCTCAAGTATTATAATGATATTTTAGACAAAAATCTTGTTCATTTTCCCTGACTTTTATCAACAATGAGTCAAGTAAAAATGACAATTTTTTTTTATAGTTGGCATGTTCTAGTTGTAACTAGTCCTAAATCATAAAATTTATGAATCTAGTTAGCATATTAATCAGGGTAAGGGCAATGGCGTAGCCAGACTTTGAATTGATTGGGATCCTTAAAATTTTTAAAATATTTTAATATGTGTATCTAATGAACTTTAAATAGATTGGTGTCCTTAGATAAGTTGACAAGAGTATGGGGTCCTAAATATGAAACATCATACTAAATTCTACATATCTAAAGGGTTTTGTTGCCCATTTTTTTCCAAGTGGGGTCCCATGACCCCTCTTCTCAACATGTGACTCCGCCACTAGGTAAGGGTAAGTTGATGCATTCGGTTCAACAGTTAAAATTGTTGTAATTCCCATAGTAAAATACGGTACAAGTATTTTACATCATCTCTAAACTAATCGTCCGTCTAAAAAGTACGTTCATAGGCATAAAATATATGAAGTTAATATTTTAGAAATAAATAATATTGAAATAATCAATTTAATAAATTTAATAAACTAAAATTGGATACTAAACGTGTTATACGGGTTTAATATGTGTTTAGTATGAGAGTCATCAAATGGACGGAAAAATGCAATAATTTAACAATAATACAAAAAAAAAAAAAATTGAAACACATAAAATGCGTACATTCATATATACTCATATTAAACGAAATATTTACTAACAATACTAATATCATAACGACATGTTTTGTAAATAACATTAACAACATTCGATGATCGAGGTTGAAAACCCGTGACACTATCATGCACTAACCAGCAAAACCCAAAAATTACTACCGGGCAAATGTTCCCGTTCTTTTTTATTTTATTTTTTTATTAAGAGATATATGACAATAGAATACAAGAAAATTAAACTACCCTATAAGTCCCTTCCCACCCAAGAAACAAAATCAAATGAAAGCAACTCTAAACTAGACAGAGAAAGGGCTTTTCTTGTCACACTATGGGCAGCCCGATTGGCAGTTCTTGGAACCGCACAAACCTCTAAGCCTATGTCTAGGGTAGCGATCATCTGACGACAGTCTCTGAGCACCGGACCTCCAACAACATCTAACTCTATCCCTCTGAGAAGCTGACGAACGACGACTTCGGAGTCCCCTTCTAGGAACACTTCTTGTAGGCCGAAGTGACGAATCAAGTTTAAACCATCTCGAGCGGCTAGTAGTTCGGCTAGGTACGGGTTGACGATCGCAGAATGTTGAAGTCCAAAAGCTAGGAGCGTATGGTCGTCTGCAGACTTGAATACCAAGCCTGTAGAACTACCTCGAGAAGGATGGATAGTTGCGTCGAAGTTGAGTTTGAGATGGCCAAGAGGAGGGGGAGACTAGGAAGGAGGCACTGAAGGGAAGACCGTTGCTGGGGGAGGAGGGACAAATGGATGAGCGGAGGAGAATTCTTGTACTTGGTGAGCGAATTGAGCAGCGAGTACGGATGACATTAGTTGAGTATACTCAAAAACTACTGTGTTTCGAGATTTCCAGATTCTCCACAGTAAACAAACGACTTGTAGAATCTGGTATGGGTTGTACATAGAGTACATTACTCTCCGCCACCAAGTGTTAAAATTTTCTTGCGCGGCGTGATTAAGGATATTCTCCAACTCTACCATTCACCATAGTCGAGTAGCTAATGGGCAGGTAAAGAATAAGTGTTCCAATGTTTCGGCTTGAAGGCAACAAATTAGACAAAGGTATGAAGCTGGTACATCTCATGCTTTAAGGATAGCCATGGTAGGTAAGATAACTCTTAAAACTTGCCATATGAAGAACCAAAGTTTAGGGGGAATTTGGAGTTGTCATGTTTTTTTTCCATAAGCCCTCATCCATCACTTGAGCTATACTCTTAGCCCCATTTGATAAAGCAAAGGTGATGCCCATATGGTATCCTCTTTTGATTGAGTATTCAACGTTAGGAGTAAAATGCCAGACTCTCTTATCTGGTTGGTCATGTCTAGCAATAGGAAGAGAGCAAATTAGCGATACGGAATTGAGAGAGAAAAGTTCATTGATCAAATGTTCCCGTTCTTCTTTTGATGGAACCTTTGGTTTGGGAAAAAATCCAAAAGTACCACTGTTTAAAAAAAAATTTCCAAAAATACCACCCAACCCCAAAAAATTCCAAAAATACCACCTTTTTTCAAAAACCGCCACCCCACCCAGCGGTTTGGTCGAAAACCGCTTGTCGGGGGCGCGGTTTTGGACCAAACCGCGGGCCTAGGGGGCGGTTATAAAAAAAAAAAATTTTTGGACCAAAACCGCTGGGTGGGGCGGCGGTTTGGCCCAAAACCGCCACCCCAACCAGCGGTTTGGTCCAAAAGTTCGGTCGAAACTTCAAATGAACGTAACTTTGCACTCGGGTATCCGATCGTAGTGATTTTTTTTTTCATTTCGCATAACTTTTCAAGATCTACAACTTTTAATAGGATGAAATTTTCAAAACAGGAACTCTTTGTGGATATACGGGACCTTGAGAATAACTTTACCTTTACTTTTTAGAAATCCATGTACATTTTGAAATTATGATTATATTAAAAGTTATAGATCTTGAAAAGTTATACGGAATAAAAAAAAAATTCATGAAATTCGGATTTTGGAGCACAAAGTTATGGCCGCCCAAAGTTTGACGAAATAAAAAAAGGTCGTTCGGGGTGGCAAATGACGTTTTTTCGAGACGAAGACGGAACCCGACTGTTTGAGACTTGCAAGATCTCAAAAAGTTATTCGGATTCAAAAAATGGAGGCCGCAAACTTTTTGAGATCTTGCAAGCCGCAAACCGCCGGGTCTCGCCTTTCGTCAAACTTTGGGCGGCCATAACTTTGTGCTCCAAACTCCGAATGTTATGAACTTTTTTTTGATTCCGCATAAATTTTCAAGATCTACAACTTTTAATATAATCATAATTTCAAAATGTACATGGATTTCTGAAAAGTAAAGGTAAAGTTATTCTCAAGGTCCCGTATATCCACAAATAGTTCCTGTTTTGAAAATTTCATCCTAGTAAAAGTTGTAGATCTTGAAAAGTTATGCGAAATGAAAAAAAAAATCACTACGATCGGATACCCGAGTGCAAAGTTACGTTCATTTGAAGTTTCGACCGAACTTTTGGACCAAACCGCTGGTTGGGGTGGCGGTTTTGGGCCAAACCGCCGCCCCACCCAGCGGTTTTGGTCCAAAAATTTTTTTTTTTTATAACCGCCCCCTAGGCCCGCGGTTTGGTCCAAAACCGCGCCCCCGACAAGCGGTTTTCGACCAAACCGCTGGGTGGGGTGGCGGTTTTTGAAAAAGGGTGGTATTTTTGGAATTTTTTGGGGTTGGGTGGTATTTTTGGAATTTTTTTTTTAAACAGTGGTACTTTTGGATTTTTTCCCTTTGGTTTGAGGCGGGTCCAGATCGATTGGGTTGGTGTAATAGTGCACTGAAATATTTGCACAATAATGCCTTAGCTTCTGTCTCTCTCCCTTGAGAAAATAAGAAAGAAATGGGACGAAAACAAGAAGGCCCCTCACCCACACCCAACGCTCTTCCCATTCCGCCAAGACCCCTTTGCTCAGAAAAGAAAACCCTTCCCTTGTCATCCATCTCATCGACCCCTCTCCTTTCCTTTCTTTCTCTCGCCATTATTTCTCTAGTCTTGTCTTTTTCCTTCACCCGACCAACAACTGAGAGAATTAGTGAGATGAAAATGGTGGAGGCAGAAGCTCCAAAATCAGCTCAAAAGATTGAAACTTTTGTGGATGTGAACCAATCCCACGTGGATACTTGTATAAGTATAACTATTACCTGCCAGTTAACATGCATCCATCTCATCTTTCTTCTTTGTCCACTGTCCACTATACTGTTATGCAGAAAATCTTCTGCCAAGGTCATTCATCTCATCTCAGTTAAAATATTTGCATTGCTGAGAATTGGAGCTGCTTATTTGTCTCTTTTTTAAATATTTTTACCTTTGCAATTGGGAAGGAGGGTTGTTCTCCTGCAACCATAATTGAGTGGTTTGAATAAGGGAGAGGGCGCGGGGACACCAGATGTGTACAAAGAAGTACTGGGAGATGGATGTTTCACTGCAACTACACAAACCCCACCTGGAGGATTAATTGCAGCTAAGGTGTTTGATAATTTGACTGACTGAAGGGAGCAGCATTTTTCCTTCGACTGTCATTATTTGAGAAAAAAACCCAGATCGAGATATGGTTATTACTATAAAGTACTTGCTTTTTCTCTCGCGGGAATGGCGGAGCTGCAGGAAGTTGCGCCAACCACAACAACTGTTCCTTTCAATATAACATGTCGAGAAAAAAGGAGCTTCTTTCTGCTACAATGAAGAGGACCAGCGACTGGTTTGCTTTCTACCCCCTTTTCTGATTGTGGCTTTACTACACTCACTAGATTCAATAATCTCTGGATCTTCTTCAACAGGGTGTTGTCAGAAAAGGTTCAGGTCCTTTAGTTTTTCCTTCATTAATAACTACTTATGGTTGCACATCCATTTTTTGCTATCATTTACCAGGATTTTCTCCCAAGAAATTTCCAGCGATGTTACAGTTTATGCTGGTGGAGCTCCTTTCTCATTGCATAAGGTACAAACTTGTTGAGCAAATACTTCTTCACTCCTGTAGTTTGCTTAATCTATGTAGCAATTTAGTAGTAAAGTAGTGGTCTGATTTTCTTAACCTTTTTCCTGGTTGATTAAATGCCTCCAATGTAGTCTTAACTGGTCACCACATTTGAAGTTCAGTCTTTTCTCTAAATTTGTGATATTGACAACTTTCAATCTCCCATTGGCTACTTTATTCTATATCTACTTGCTTCAATTGCAGTTTCCATTGGTGTCAAAGTCAGGCTACATAAGAAAGCTAGTGTCTGAAGCTAGTGATGCTGATCTCTCGGAGATCCAAATCCCAGAAATCCCCGGCGGGCGAGAAGCATTTGAGCTCGCAGCAAAGTTCTGCTACGGAATCAACTTCGAGATAGGCACAGAGAACATTGCAGTCCTAAGATGCGTGGCAGAGTATCTGGAGATGACCGAGGACTACTCAGTTGGAAACTTGGTGTCGAGAGCTGAAGCCTATCTAAATGAGGTGGCCCTCAAGAGCCTCGCTGGGGCAGTTTCTGTCTTGCATCATTTGGAAAGCCTCGGCCATATTGCAGAGAAAGTGAAGCTGGTGAGCCGATGCATAGATGCCATAGCACTCATAACCTGCAATGAAACCCAATTCTCAATCTCAGCCAGGTCTGATGGTGGTACTGCATTGGAAGCCCAACCAAAGCCCATAGTTGATTGGTGGGCTGAAGATTTGACTGTTCTCAGGATTGATCTATTTCAGAGAGTTCTGATTGCAATGTTGTCAAGAGGGTTCAAGCAGTATGCCCTTGGCCCTGTACTCATGCTCTATGCTCAGAAGTCCCTCCGAGGTTTGGTAAGAACTTTGCCATGAAAACTTTTGAGGGGTGATTTTGACTGTTGGTTCTGAAAAGAGGGTTGTTATTTGCCGCCCGGCCTTTTACTATTTGCCGCCCATGATTTTAATAAAAATGTCATTTTTACCCCTCATCATTTTTTTAGAGCACAAATCCTCATACACCACCACAACCTGCAGACCACCACCGCCGTCGGTATCAGACCACCGTTGCCACCGCCGCCAGATCTTGCCACGACGGGCGGACCCCGTCCGACCACGGCCGGCGGATCCCGCCCGACCACGAACGGCGGACCCCGTTTGACCACGGCCGGCGGACCCCGCCCGACCACGAGCGGCGGACCCCGTCCGACCACGGCCGGCGGACAGAGTAAAAAAAGGGGAAAAAGAAGGCTGATCTTGAAAACGAGCTCCTTCCTCGACGGCGGCGGCGATTTCCTTCCCATCGGCGGCAACCTAAGGCTGCTATGGAGCGTTTGGTTTTTTTTTCCTGTTTATTTAATTCATTTTAGTCTATTGTCTATTCAATTAATTAGTTTAACGTAATAAGTGTTAAACATTGGTAACTGCCATCTATAAGATATATGATGGAGATTCATGACTCAACTTTCTTCCATTTCAAATTTTCTGCAACGAGAGTGAAAGTAGGAAGGGTACTTTCGTCATTGCAATTGTTTATTTTTTTATTTGAAAAAAATATCAGTGTCAAGATTTGAACCCGGGTCTCTTCTAACAAGGACAAGAGTCATAACCAATAAGACTAAACAAATTTGTTGCATTTATTTATAAAAAAAACATACAAGAGGCAAAATTCTGAAAATCAAATGACTTTTCCAGCACAGTTAGCTACCCCACTAAGTCTTTCTTAAGCATTTTTAGTGTTGGAGGATAATCTTAAAACCGCAATCCAAATATCATTTATTCGAATATTGCATATCAAATTACAATATTAAATATATATGTGCACACACAACCACATATATATGGGTCAGACTGGTGTACTCCTGGAGTATATTATACTTCAGGTACTCTTCGTGAGATATCTCTATCTAGACCATGATTTTTAACCGAGTTTGGGGTATGATACTCTACCCTAACCTCTAATGGATAAACCCCAGGCTCCGATTCTCTAAACTCAAACCCAAAGTTTAATTTAATGGAAAATTATAATTGACCATTGAGATTGATTGGAGCTCAACAAAGTACATCTAATGTCTAGATCATGTGGAGTATACTATACTCTTGGAGTGTACCAGTATACTATACTCCTGTAGTATACCAGTATGTGTGTGTGTAGTGTTTTCTATCATATTTTGAGTAAAATCAAAAGGTAACTCATACCCTTGGTAAGAAATGGCAATCTAGACTTTGAATTAACCTGATTTCGAGACGAGACACTATATTCTAACCCTTGACGAGTGAACTCTAGGTCTTAACTATTTAAATCATAGATCCTAAACCAAGGATTATAAAACCTCATCAGAGGTTGTACCGAAAAAGTCGGCAGGAGGGTATTTTATGCGAAAACTGTGGTTAACCGTGATTCAGTCGTTTCACAACACTACATAGTGCCTATTGGTTTAGTCGAACCCCCGGTACGTTAAGGGTTTTCAATCCTTGCCCTAAACACTAAGATTATGCACATAATTTTTTTGATGTATTTTGATGAAACACGACCTTCGATTATTGTTTCTAATAAAATTGATCTTAGTATATGAGCTTCATAGAATTAAGACCTAGATTTTAATCTGTAAGGGCTTAAGGTATAGTACCATGTCCCTAGCTCCGGCCACTAGACATCATTTTCATACTCAGAGTATATCATTCAAGGTCTATATATCATTTCCTTATGTAATTTTCTTAATCAAAATATGATAGAACCACCCATACTTATAGTTGTGTTATCCTGCTGGAAAGTCATTTGTTCTAAATGTTAGTTGGTTGGACTGCAGTTTTATCAGGGTTGTATGTTGTTTGAAACATTTTGAACTTCATTAGTCCAATATTTTTAGTACTCCTATATTATTTAGGGATAATATCCTATTTTGTGTTGAACTTTGATGTAAATAACAATTTTGGCATGAACATTCAAATAAGATAGTTTTGTCCGAATTTGAAAGAAATTAACAAATTTGACCCGAAATTTGGGTCGGTTATTAATATTGAGGGTCAAACATTTCTTTTTTTTATGACTCAACATACAATGTTAAGGTGACTGTGGTGTGACTTTCACGTCATAGGTATAATATGCTATTTTGCCCTACACTTTCAAATAAGACAGTTTTGTACGAATTTTCAAAGAAATGAATAACTTTGACCCAAAATTTAGGTTGCCGTTAATATTGATGAGAGGGGTACAAAGAGAGATAGTTTCGTGCTTTGGGATTTTTGGGGGCCTGAATCAATTTCTTTTTCCTTTTAATATGATTTATGCAAGTAAATATGAAAATATTAGGATATACTAAGGGTCCTATTTTGTGGTATTTTTTTCTTCTGAAAAATTCACTTTTTTAGACTTTATAAATAAATGACTTGGAAGCCACATCGCAACCGAAACCTCTCTATCACAACTGTCAATATTAAAGGTCAACCCAAATTTCGGACCAAATTTGTTCATTTCTTTCAAAGTGCAAACAAACCTATCTTATTTGAAAATTCGAGCCAAAATTGTCTTTTACATCAAGTTCATGCCAAAATAAGGTATCATCCCTATGACATGGAAGCCACATCGCAATCGCAACCACCTGAGCATTGTATGTTGAATGGATGAAGAAATTTTTAACTTTTAATATTAACGAACAACATAAATTTCAGTCCAAATTTGTCCATTTCTTTCAAAATTTTGAAAACTGTCTTATTTGCAAGTTCATGTCAAGTTTGGCTTTTACGACAAACTTCAAGGTCAAAATAAGGTATATCCCTATTATTTATGGTCAACTTACCAATCAAAGTAGTCAGTGAAAGTATCAGCAACACTGACAAAGACAAACATATGTAATTCAAAATTAGTTGCACTCAGCCTTAAGTTTGAAGCTCTCTTGAGAACCCGGACTATTTTCTAGGCATCTTCGGGGACTACGACTAGCATGCTTCCAAACCAGCTGATCCTTATTCTACTTTCTATGAAGAGGAATAATATGGGTGTATCTGTTAGACATTAATTAGGGTTACAAATGATCTCATTCCTAAAATCTGTTAGAGACCAATCTTTTTCTTTCCTTCTGAGGGTTCATTATGTATGTTTTAGGAAAAACAACTCTAATCTTGAACTATTTGCCATTTTTAAGTATTGAAAACCTATTATTTTGTATGTTTTTCTTTTCTTCTTTGAACAATTATATTTCTTTTTTCAGTGATATGTCGTATCTTCCTATTATATTGTAAGCATGTTATATGAACATATTTTTTGTCTAGACTTTCCCGGCCAAGGGGCCGGGCCCGGTGCTAGTTTTTATTGGTAGCGATGTGGGAAATAAACTTGGAGTGGATTAAGAAGTAATTTTCGGAATTCGGATTCCGATATGGTGAGAGAATGACGTGAGAGTTATTGTTATTTAATATAAAACAAATCAACTAATTAATGGTGGCTACGGGAAATCAGCTAATTAATGGTGAATTTGGTAAAAAATGATGAATAGTGCTATACGATTGGATCTCTAAATTTCGGATAGCTATAATTATTTAAAATAAACCCACGAAATTACCGGGGGGAAAAAAGAACCCACGATAAACTATTTTAATTTTTTACAAAAAAAAAAATCATAATCAATGATGAATTGTAGATACGAACATTTACCTAATTAACTACATAAAAAAATGTCTCTTATTGACTCCTCCCCCATTAATATGTCTAACTACATTTACCTAATTTCTCTTATTGTAGTTATTTAATTTTAAATTATGGTACAGAATAGTGATAAATATTAACATAATATTAAATTAGTTTGATTAATAATTATATAATTATGTTGTGGTAAATATCAAATTTTGTACTAAATAAATTTGTGGATATGAACATGATGGAATCAACCGTTTCTCAATTGGACGCTCGGACAAAAATGATGAATAGTGTCAAAACTTTTATCGAGGTTTTTTAGGAGTTTAGGGATCGTAATGAATAGTTTCTTGAGCCTATCATGCGTATTTCGTCGATGCAAACGATTGTTGTTAGTGGAGGGAGAGAGGATTTTGCCTTTAAGACAAAGTCGTAGTAGGATTAGATGGACTGAAGTTGAAGGTAACTATTTAGTGAGAATGAGACTTTAGGGTTTGGAAGGGGTAGATTGTGTTTGAGGGAGAAGAGATGCGTGTTTTGTTACTCATTGTTATCCGATTGAGTCGAGTTGATTCTTCATTTTGTTATCTGACATCTTGGGTTAGATTGATTCAATTGTAGTCAAAGTCAAATCATAATCACCTTAAACCCTAATTTAGTCAGACTCTAATTTAACATACCATAATTATTCAATTACAAAAGATTTACGTAATAAAATTGGTTCAACTATTATTTGAAAGAAAGTCATCGTTCCTTTTATCTATAATTACTTACCATTTCAAATCCAACTTTTCCGCGTCCAATTTGTAGCTTAATTTCCTAAAAACTCATCTATTAATTGCCATTGTAGACATTAATTCCGAAATTTTACTATTATTTAAGCACTTTCCCTACAAATAATTATCTAGTTGCTAAATAAATAATTAATAATTTAAAAACGATTATAGCAAGAGAGGAATCCATGGAAATTACCACAAAATATAAAACAAAATTAAGAAGTTAATTAGCCAAATGGATTCTCGGCGGTTAAGGGGAATAGATTTTCAGTTTTAATTAAAGAAATAATTAATAATTTCGTCAAAAAATTGGAAATAATTAATAATCCTTTATTTTTCGGTTTTCAATCATGGTAAAATATATAAGTTTACTTACCGCTAAAAACTAGGCAAGATTAATTATCGCAAAAATAATTAGGCAAGATTTATATAACTTATAATCAATTTAACGGAAACATCCTATAATTATGAAGTTAGAGTTAGATGTCAATTTATATGTGGGTTATAGCATAAGACGTGTTAATTAGGGATGATTGTTAATTAGGATTATTTCTCTGTCTTGTCTCATTTAATTATTTCCATTATTACCCGTCGTTAATTAGGGAAATGGATATACATGTGTGTTAATTAGAGAAAAGTTTGTATTTAATAATGATTTAATGCAGTATTTAAATATACTTAAATATTAAATATGAATCCGTGATTTATTTTTGGGGAAAGAAAACGTCATCAGCGGTAGGTCCTACGCCGGAAATCTTATGCCAGGCACCGGTCCGACGCGGGCTGGCGGACCCCGTCCGACGCGGGCGGGCGGACCCCGTCCGACGCCGGCGGGCGGACCCCGTCCGACGCCGGCGGGCGGACCCCGTCCGACGCCGGCGGGCGGACAATGCTGCTGGGAAGACGAAGCCGGAAATCAACGGGAAGACGGGTATGGCTGATTATTCATCGCGGGGCAAAAAAGTAAAGTGACACTTCGCCGGAATTTCGCGAGATTTGTAAGGGAAAGAAAGAATTGGTGGAAGAGATTAACCTCCCATTGCCGGCGACGTTGCAGTAGAAGAAAATGAAAAATTTTGATCGTTGTTTCTTTGAGGGGGAAGAAAGAATGAGTCTGGCTTTAGGAAGGGATGTGGGCTTTGGGTTGTGGTCGGTGGAATTTGTGTTGAGGTATCGTGAGGGATTGGTGAAGGGGGGATTTTGTGATCGGCGGTGAGGGAGGTTTGGTTGAGGACGGTGGAGATTGGTGCGTTGTGGTCGGCGGTTAGGAGAGTGTTTTCTAATCTAAGGGTAAAAGAGTCTTTTGCTTTAAAATTGTGGGCGGCAAATAGTAATCTATCGGGCGGCAAATAGCAGTTCATTTCTGAAAACTGATGGATTTGTGAAAAATTTGTGGACTTTAAGAGTAATGGATTGTATATATAGTTAGTAGTGGATTGTGAGTAATACCTCATCTAATACTTTCTTATAACTTACAAAATGTAAATAGATAGGGACAGATTAAAAATTAGAAGGGATGATTCAAAAACTCACAAGTAGGTAAAAGGTTTTCGGAATAAGTACAACCACAGATTTGATATGCGCGTGAATTTGAAAATGGATGATCAGGGACAATGCTTTTTTCCGCTACATAGAAGGAGGGATTTTGCACAAAAACCCTTTCTTCTCATGAAATTTGGTCATCACTACAGTTCCCGCGAATGGATATCTTCATTTTGTGCATAGATTATGGTTCTAAAACTTTCCTTTTCCATTGTGATGTAGGAGACATTTGGCAAGCCTCGGAAAAAGATTGACCCACAACAAGAGCATGATAAAAGGGTTGTTGTAGAAACAATAGTTAGCCTTCTGCCAAGGGAGAGAAATGCAATGTCTGTAAGCTTCCTATCTATGCTGCTTCGAGCTGCAATCTACCTCGAGACTACTGTTGCCTGCAGGCTTGATTTGGAGAAGAGGATGGCCTCACAGTTAGGACAAGCTGTACTAGACGATCTGTTGATTCCTGCATATTCATTGACAGGGGACACAATATTCGATGTGGATACAGTGAAGCGTATCATGATGAACTACACTGAAAGTGAAGTGGAAGCTGCTGGGAACATTAGATTGGGTGGGTACAATGCCAGTGACGACGATTATGTCTCTCTTCGGCTGGGTGATATGGAGAGGGTTGGGAAGCTTATGGAGAACTACTTGGTTGAAATAGCCTCGGACCGGAATTTGGGTATGTCTAAGTTCATTTCTGTTGCTGAACTCGTTCCTGAACAGTCGAGGGCTGTGGAGGATGGAATGTACCGAGCCATCGACATATTCCTTAAGGTGCACTCTTAAAACTCGTCCTTATTACAGCTTAGTTCTCTGTTTTAGCTGTGATTTTACATCATCTTGTGGATTTCTCTACCCACTAGAACACTAGTCTATCATAATATAATATGCGGATTTTGGTTCTAATTCTGAACAAACCCGGACCATGTTCCTTAATTTCAGTCGTTAACTTTTCAGAATACTTGCCACTATACTACATTCGAGAATACTTACCACTATACTACAATGACATTTGTTCTGAATACCGTTTTCGTCGATTTAGTTACGTGGTTGAATCAATGTTTGACAGGCTCATCCAGAGTTAAGCGACATGGAGAAGAAGAAAGTGTGCAGCGTAATGGACTGCCAGAAACTATCACGGGAGGCCTGCGCTCATGCCGCTCAAAACGACAGGCTCCCCGTCCAAACCGTGGTTCAAGTCCTCTTCCACGAGCAACAACGCCTCCGAGACGCCATGAACAACAACACTACCACTCCCAAGGTCCCACTCTACTCCACCGACATCCATCCTGTTGTCGTCCCTCATCGTCACAACGATGACCTCTCCGCACTGAAGCGAGAGAACCAAGACCTGAAAATCGAGCTGGTCAAGATGAAGATGAAGCTCAACGAAATCGAGAGATCGTCCAGTACTGGTACCAAATCAGCAGCTGGGAGTCCAATGGCGAGCAGCAGATCGTCACAGTCTGCTGATAAGCCTCCTCTGCCGCCTTCTAAGAAGTCGTTCATCAACGTGGTGTCGAAGAAGCTAGGAAGGATAAATCCTTTCGTGCGCCTTGATGGTGTGTCGCCGTCTAAAGGTCGCACGAGGCCGCCTAAAGATCGGCGCCATTCTATATCTTGACACACCACAGCGAGAAGTCTTATGCATCATTCATGTTCATGTGTTTATTTAGTATTGTTGCGTCTGTTACTGACTTTCTGTATTGGATTTTTGGATCTTTCGGGTTTCTACTACACTTCTTTGGTTAATGGTGTGCTCTGATAATGTAAATAATATTTTTGTGATCATTGGTAGATGCACAAGTAGGGATGGCAACAAAACCCGAACTCACGGGTACCCATCCGACCCAACCCGGTCAACGCGGGTAAAATTCGTGTTGATTGGTTTTGGGCCGGGTTTAGGTTTCAACCCGCTACACTATTCACTGGGTCGGGTTGGGTTTGGGTTTAGGTAAACCCGCCCCATGGGTATCCGCCCACACACATATAATTACTTTTCCGGTATATTTAATATTCTAAATAATATATCTTCCTTAAACAACTAATATTCTTTATGTTTGTGGAGACATGTATAATTTGTTCTTTCTAATTGTTTAGAATAGGGATGGCAACAAAACCCGAACCCACGGGTATCCACCCGACCCAACCCGGTCAACGCGGGTAAAATTAGTGTTGACGGGTTTTGGACCGGGTTTGGGTTTTAACCCGTTCACTATTCACCCGGTTGGGTTGGGTTTGGGTTTAGGGAAACCCGGCCCGTGGGTACCCGCCCACCCATATAATTAATTTTTTCGGTATATTTAATATTCTAAACAACTAATCTTATTTATGTTTGTGGAGACATGTCTAATTTTTTCTTTTTAATTGTGTAGAATGAAGTTGATGTTATGGAGTGGAGAGTAAAGAAACTTAATTGAAAGGAAGAAGCTTTCAATTAAACATGTTATTTATGAATAATTTGTAATTTGCTTCAATTTTCTTGAGTTTTTTAGATTGGTGTTGAACAATTTGTATAGTTAATTTGTGATTTGCTTGAATTTTCTAGAATGATGTTTTATATATGGATAATTTGTATTGAGAGATTGATATTTGACTTTAATTTTGATAAGAACTTGTAATTGTAAATTTTTTACGACAAAACCCGTGGGTACCCATGAACCCGCGGATACCCAACGGGTTGGGTTTGAGTTTTTCAAACCCAGTAGGTTTTACCCCGGGTTTTTTTCAAAGATAAACTCATGGGTTTGGGTTTGGGTTTGGCAAAACCCAACCCGACCCATTGCCATCCCTAGTTTAGAATGAAGTTGATATTATGAAGTAGAGAGTGAAGAAACTTAGTTGACAAGGAAGAAGCTTTCAATTAATCTTATTGTTTATAGATGTTATCTTTAATTTTGAACAATTTGTATTGATCATTTGCGGTTTGCTTGTAAGCTCTAGATTGGTGTTTTTTGTATGAATAATTTGTATGAGAAGATTGATGTTAAACTTTTATTTTGAAAGAAACTTGTTATTGTAAATTTTTTACCACAAAAACCCACGGGTACCCATGAACCCGCGGATACCCAGCGGGTTGGGTTGGGTTTGAGTTTTTCAAACCCAACGGATTTTACCCCGGTTTTTTTTGGCGGATAAACTCATGGATTTGGGTTTGGGTTTGACAAAACCCGCCCCAACCCGACCCATTGCCATCCCTATGCACAAGGACAACAACTGAAACCAAAATCTAAATATTTCTGTGATGGATTAATGTCTTTTTATGAAGTGGCGTTATATTAAACACAAGGAAGCAGTCCACAATGTTGGTATTAAAATTAGAAAAAAAACAAGGAAGCGAAATTGGTACGCATTATTTAGCGGTATGAAACGGTTGAACAACCTCCAGTACGATATTTCAATCCGTGATAATTATGTGTATCATATCTTATCAATTTCAGTAGGTTAACTATTAAAAGCACAACTCATTGGATTTGAATAGACTTTAATAACAAAGAAAAAAACTCGATTAGTTAAAGTAAAATTCAATTAAAATTTAAGAGAGAAAGTCATAAAAGAAACATCGAAATTCACTACATAATCTCTTAGAATCAGTTCTACTCGCTAATAAATTTAATTCAGTTCTCTACAATAACTCAATAAGGATACTTCAAATGTGCAACTAATTTCTCTAGGATGGAGATTGGACACAACCGTTTGGTTTGATCGAGGGCAGAGCATATCAATACATCATCAACTGGCCATGCGAACCTGGTGGGGTGGGGTGGGGTGATAAGGGACTTGGTCCTTAACGAGTCAAATCCTCTCTTCTTTTCCGTCTCTTTCTTCTTCCCTTCTTCTTTCTTTCACCAACAAAAATGGCTACTGAGTCTTCCTCTGTTTCTTACTGCTCCCTCTGCTGGCTCTATTTCCATTCCGGTGTCCACTTTGTCTCTCCCTATCAACCCACAATTGACCGTCAAACTTACGCCGACCAATTACTTGTTACGGCACGCTCAAATAATCCCTCTTCTATGCTGTTATCATTTGATGGGTCATGTTGACGGCACTCTCACTGCTCCACCTCAACTTATCGATGGCCAACCCAATCCGACTTACTTGACCTGGTATGATCGTGACCAGTGTGTTCTTACTTGGATTAATCTATCCCTTTCCGAAGCCGTACTCCCGAACGTCATCAACAAGACAACGGCCTTTCAGGCGTGGACGGCCCTGGCTACCATCTACGCCTCTGGTTCTCACGTCCAGATTCGGCAGCTCACCAAGACACTTCAAAACATCCGCCGCGGGGATGCCATAATCCATGATTATCTACAGAATGCCAAAGCCAAAGCCGATCGGCTCGCTGCCCTAGGCTCTCCCGTCTCCAACGCCGATCTCACAGGTTGGATCCTTCACGGATTGGGTGAGGATTACCGCCCGTTCGTGCGTCATATCGAAGAACGAATGACCCCATCAGTTTTGAATCACTCCCTTCTCCTCAGCGAAGAGCTTCAGATCCAACGATTTTCTCCTCGTTCGGATTCTCCTTCCCCTACTGCTTTCTTTTCCATCGTCGCGACAGAGGAGGACGTGGGCGTGGTCGGGGATCTCTTCGCGGCGGCGGTCACTTTTATTCTAACCTCAACATTTTTCTTCCTTCTGTTGGCAGGTTGAGTCCCGCTGGTGGTGGAGTTCTTGGGCCCCGGCCCACTACTCATGTAGTTTATCATAACTGTGGTGGGCGCGACCACATTAAGCCCCACTTCCCAAGCCCAATTCAGCCCCAACCCAGCAAATCAATCCAACCCGACCAGTACTCTGGTTTGGCACCCCATACAGCCCACACGCATTGTTATCCTCCTCACCCGCCCAGTCTTTTAACCCGCAGCAGTGGCTCCACGATTCTGGCACCAACCATCATCTTACCTTGGATTTAGACAACCTTGCCCATCATTCTGAGTATAATAGCACTGATGAGGTCACTTTTGGCAATGGTAACTCGCTTCCCATCTCTCGTTTTGGCTCCTCCTCCACTTCTTTATCAAACACTTCCATTTCTTTGGATAACATTCTTCATGTTCGTCCTGCTCCGTACAATTTGCTCTCAATCAGTTCTCTCACTCAATCTAATCCTATCTCCATCGAATTTTTTGACTCTCTTTTTCTTATCAAGGATCAACGCACGGGGCATGAACTCCATCAAGGTTATGCGATGGACGGTCTGTACTCCCTTCCACTTCATATTTCCCGTCATCTTCCCCCCATTTCTTGTGCGGCTTCTTTTGACATTTGGCATCGTCGTCTTGGTCACGCTCATGAAAGGGCTGTCAAGCACGCTCTTCATCAGCATCAAATAAAATTTGTTTCTTCTCCTCCCTCTTTGTGTCATGGTTGTGTCGTTAGTAAGATCTACAAGCTTCCTTTTTCTTCTTCCACATTTTAAGCTACTGCTCCACTTGAACTCGTTTGTAGTGATGTATGGGGCCCTGCTCCTGTTTTGTCTTATGATGAGCAATCCTATTACATTCTGTTCTATGATCATTATAGCAAGTTATCATGGATTTATTTCATTCGTTATATATCTCAATTGCTTAATGTTTCATTCAATTTCGTCAATTGGTAGAAAAATATTTTGGCCTTCCCATTAAAACTTTTCAATATGATTGGGGTGGCGAATATCAAGCTCTATCTACCTACCTCTCAAAACATGGTATTTCTCATCGTTCCTCATGTCCCTATACTCTTGAACATAATGGGTGTGTTGAACGCAAACATCGGCACTTCGTCAATAATGGCATTTCTCTCCTTCCTCACTCGAACGTCCCACAAAAATATTGGTCTCTTGTTTTTTATACTGCCTGTTATCTCATTAATCGCACACCTACACCTCTTCTTCAAAATGATTCTCCCTTCCATTTTCTTTTTCAACGTGCCCCTGATCTCTCCACTCTTCTTGTTTTTGGTTGTCTATGTTATCCATGGCTTCACCCATTAGCACCAAACAAACTTGCTCCTTGTTCTGTACCATGTGTTTTTCTTGGTTACAGTAAACATCACAAGCGTTACCGTTGCCTTCACATCCCCACTGGTCGTCTATATGTAAGCTATCACGTTCTGTTTGATGAGGATTGTTTCCCATTTGCCGAATTACTCTCCTCTCCACCATCTAAGACTCATATCCCCCTACCCTCCCAGCCCACTTTGCTACCACCACCCCCACCGTCCCTTCCACCTCGGCCCACAACTGCTCCCCAGTCCAATCCCGTTCCCTCTCAACCCATATTAAATGCCCCTACTACTACCACTTTAGGCCCAGATTCCCACGGCCCGATCCCATTCCCCAGCCAAATCTCATTCCCCTTCCCGATCTCATTCCCCAGCCCACTCCTTGTCCCTCACCTGGCCCATTCCCTCGCGCACCCACATCCGATTCACTTTTGCCATCGTCCTCTTCCCCAACAATTCCTTCTCCTCTGCCTTATCCTCCATGCCCTCTTATCCAATATCACCGTCGCCGTCCTGTCCCTAAATCACAAACCCCTTGTCCACCCTATATCCATGCTCCAACTCGGTCTCAACACCAATCTTTTCCCGTCACTCGTCGTCCCACTCCCCTGCCTCCACGCCGTCCCATTCCAAATCGCCCTCGGTTCTCCATTTCCCCTAGCCTGATTCCCATTACCAATCCCACTAGCTCGACCCACCCTATGGTTACCCGAATCACAACAGGAAATCTCAAACCTCGTAGCCTTCTCTCCCACCTGCATATTGATGACACACCAACTACTGTGACACATGCCCTCAAGCTTCCCCACTGGCGCTTGGCCATGGCTGATGAGGTTACTGCTCAGCTTTGGAATCACACCTGGGACTTGGTTCCTCCTCCACCCAACTGCAATATCCTCTCCAGCAAGTGGGTCTATCGCACCAAGCTCCATCCCGATGGTGAACTCGATCGACGTCGAGCTTGCCTATTCGCACGTGGTTTTGAACAA